AGTGAGTCCCCCAAGTCCTCCCCAAACGAACCAGACAAAGAGTTGGACATGTTTTCTCGAACCTGATGTGTGGCAGTTCTAAAAAAGGCCAGCCTGGAGCCGCAGGAAAAATTGGGGAATCCACCTTCGTCCTCCTCGCAACTGAATGCAGGTTGGCCTTCCCATGCCTGTTGCCAGCGGTGGAACTCACAGAGGAACTTGTCAAAGCAGGGAACCATTCAATTGGTTGGCTGGGACTGGTTGCGCCTGACTGTTCCTCAAACCAGAGCGGCTCCTTTTGACTCACCGAACTCACAGAGCAGCTCTGGAACCCTTGATCAATGAACCTATTGCATTCATCAACTATGGAATGAGAAGAGCGCGTCACAATCCCCGCAATCAAGCAGCAACCAGCCAGCAAGCAGGGTTTCTTCCTACATCCAGGATCTCATTACCCGATGAGTGAGATCTGCTGTGTGGGATTCATGTGCGCACCGGTGCCACAACTGCCAGAAGCACGGGCACGCTGGCACCAAGTGCCACAGGCCGAAACTTCAGCTTTGAAGCTGAGGGTTTAAGTAGCTGCAAGGTGCGCAGGCACGTGAACACCTGAAAGGGGCGGTTCGTTTGCATCGTGATGCCTGTCATGAACCGTCGCGTCAACCCGATTGACACCCCACCCCTTGTCGTACACAGTGCATCCACTTGAATCTGCACCCATCGCGAAGGCGAACCCCCCCATCCTGCATGAGGCTGTCGATGGCATCCACTTCGCTCACCAGCCTGGCCAGTCGTTCGAACAGACTGTCCGAAGCCCATGGCTCACACAACACGCCTGAGACTTCAACCGGGCCATGCTGCGATTGCCCTCTGCCACTCGGTCGCATTTCTTGACCAAGGGTTTTAGTCAACACAACTGCCCCAGCTGGCATTAAAATTAGAACGACCAATCCTCCTTGCCCGCCGGCTGGGATGAATCGCCAAACAAATGGAAATCAAGCACATAATGAACAGGTGGGTAAAAGCGCGCAAGAAGAACCCAAGGCAGCCACCCCCTTTAAAGTGGGCGGTTTCCTCGCGTTGAAAAGCCGTGTAGGTCCTGCAACGTCAGACATGGCGGGGTTTGCCAGCCTTTCTTTCACATTGATTATTGAGCAAGAAAAGTAAATCGCCCATACGATGCTCAAACAAGAATGCAGCATTTGCTTAGTGACCATTGGTTAAACAGACAAGCGCTACCAGGTAGTTGACCCACCCAGAGGCCCTGTAGATCTCGGTGAGCAAGTTTTGACCAAGGGAGTTATCGATGCACTCGGTACCCCGCGTTGTGTTCGTATCGCATGTCCGAGGCACGGACCTTTCCCACTCCAAGACCACTAAAATATATAGGGGGTTCCCATGTTCTTGCAAGAATCAGATTGCAGGGCGGCTGCAGCTGCGTGCGCTGGCAATGTTGCAGCCAGGTTGTGGTCTCATAGTGCTAAGCTGAACCTTCCAAAAGCTGCAGGTCTCAACATGGACATACCCGCCCCCCTTGCTTTCCTTTGCAAACCGCACTGTGCATGTAGATAACACGTCGATATGAGACAAACACATCTGCCATACCTTCGCGAACAGGTCCAGCCAGGGTCAAACAAACTCAAAGGTCTCGGCAAACACTGTGCATGAAAAAGAATTCAACTCATGATTTATCCACATTCTTCTGCACCAGACTACAGACTACAACCTCCCTCCAACCAAACTACTTCTACTTAACATCTTCACCACTAGACGAGGTTGCACATGCCTCGCTTCCGCCTCCAGTGCTGCATGCCATCGCCCTTCTCATCCCCCACCAGCTGCTTGATGTAGGAGCCCAGCTCAGGGGCCTTCGAAAGCGGGCTTCGGTTTTGAGTTCCGGAGTCTGCTCCTTCAACTTCCGAAGACCCCGGCAGGCAGAATCGGCGGCTTCAAGGAGGAACCATGGGAAACTGGACTGTCTTCTACAGTTGGGTTGCGGACACCTTTGGTTGGCTCCCCATCCCTCTTTCCAAAACACTTGTTGTTCGAATCCAGGATATCTGACTTGATGGCTGCGTTCCAAAAGAAGCATCCCGGACCATGGAAACAATGAGGGACCCAGTGTCGAAGCCACACGTACGATGCGGGCTGGAACCGACGTGAACATTTGCAAATGCCCTCCGTTCCCGCATTGCTTTTAATGGTTGCGCAAACAAAGTCGACCAGACATGAAACCTGTCTATGTATGTATGATTGGGCAGTAATCCAAAAAGTCCGCCACAACTACGATTTCCTCATGCAGCAGCAGCACCAATAAGACTCACAAACAACTACCAACAGCACCACCACCACCACCACGACCACCACCAGCCGACGATGACACAACGACAACGACAACGACAACAATAATGACCACGCTGACCACGCCAACCATGACCACAACGACCACAAGCACAACCGCAACCGCAACCACAACCACCACATCAACCAAGATAAAACCACAACAACCACAACCACAACAACCACAACAACCACAACCACAACCACATCCAACCACCACCACCACCAACAACGATGACGACGACGACGATGACGACGACGACCACAACAACAACAACAACAACAACAACAACAACAACAACAACAACAACAACAACAACAACAACAACAACAACAACAACAACAACACCAGCAGCAGCAGCAGCAGCAGCAGCAGCAGCAGCACAACAACAACAACAACAACAACAACAACAACAACAACAACAACAACAACAACAACAACAACAACAACAACAACAACAACAGCAGCAGCAGCAGCAACAACAACAACAACCGACGCACAAACAACACGCAAACAACACACGAACAAACAAACACATACACGAACAAACAAACACATGCACGAACAAAAAGCCAAACAAACAACCAGCCAAACAACAACCAACCAACCAACCAAACAACAAAGCAAACAAACAAACAATCAAAAACAGCCCGACAAGCAAACAAACAAGCAACCAGCTAAAAAAACAAACAACCAAACAAACAACCAACCCACCAAACAAACAAAAACAAAAACAACCAAACAAACAAACAACCAACCCACCAAACAAACCAAACAAACAAACAAACAAACAAACAAACAACCAACCAACCAACCAACCAACCAACACACCAACCAACACACCAACCAACAAAAGAAACAAACAAACAAAAAACCAACCAACGAAACAAACAAACAAACAAACAAACAAACAAACAAACAAACAACCAACCAACCAACGAAACAAACAAGAAACCAACCAACCAACCAACCAACCAACCAACCAACCAACCAACCAACCAACCAACCAACCAACGAAACAAACAAGCAACCAAACAACCAACCAACCAACCAAACAACCAAACAAACAAACAAACAAACAACCAACCAACCAACTAACCAACCAAACAGTCAACCAACCAACTAAACAAACAAACAAACAAACAACAATACATACAACCAAACAAACAAACAACCAACCAAACAAAAACAAACAAAAAACAAGACCGGGAAAAAACGCAATCAAACAATCAATCAATCAAACAATCAAACAATCAAACAAACAAAAAAACAAACAAACAAACAAAAAACAACAACAAAACAACCAAACAAACAAACAAACAAACAAACAAACAAACAACAAACCAAACAAACAAACCAACAACCAACCAAAATAAGCAATCAAACAAACAACCAACCGACCAAACAACCAAACCAACAAACAATCAACCAAACAAACAAACAAACAAACAACCAAACAACCAACCAACCAACCAAACAAACAAACAAACAAGCAAACAACCAAACAAACAAACAAACAAACAAACAAACAAACAACCAACCAACCAACCAAACAAACAACCAACCAACCAACCAACCAACCAAACAAACAAACAACCAACCAAACAAACAACCAACCAAACAAACAAACAACCAACCAAACAACCAACCAAACAACGAAACAAACAAACAAGCAAGCAAACAAACAAACAAACAAACAAACAGACCGACAAACAAACAAACAAACAAACAAACAAACAACCAACCAACCAACCAACCAAGCAAACAACCAACCCACCAACCAACCAAACAAACAAACAAACAAACAAACAACCCTGCCATCCCGAAGCCTTCGAGGAACCAGTCTGTGAGCGTCGCTCCTCGATCCCAGCCGGTGCGCCATTCCACTTGGTAGCTTGAAGCCCCGGTGGTGTGGCTTTGAGGTTGGGTGGCTCAAGAATGAGGGGTTCAAGTCAAGTCTCCAGTTGCCAATCCAAGCCACCAATTCCAGGGGCAACCTGAACGTGGCTGAAGTAGGGAAAAGCCGCGCCATTGCGACGGTAAGTCGAGCGGCAATGAACTTCAAGGGAGACCAACCTCAGAAGTGGTCGGACATGAACCAGACCTTCATTACCTTCCTGTTTGCCAACCAATGACTTGCCAGTCAGTATTGCCCAACCGTTGGTTTGCAGCTAAGATCCTCCATGTTTCCCAGGTCTCCGCTTGTTGCTTAACGTGGCCACGCTGCACCCCAGTCAAATTGACCAGGCACCTAAAACCAGTGCACCACAAAGCCAAGATGAGGCAAGGGTCAAATTTGATTGAGTCCGCTGTGACCAAACCGGGAGCCAGCCGGACGCCAGCAGCTCCTCGGTCGGGCGCGACGGTGAGATCGCAGGCGTCGACCTGGCGAACATCCGACTCCGATTCCCGGAATCCGGCATAAAGCAAAGAGAGCGTGCGAATCTGGACAGAAGCGGAAGAAAGCACAAGCTGTTTTCTCCTAAGGCCAGAGATGATGCAAAATCAGTTCAAAGTCAAGCTCTCTTGGAGAAGGAACGAACCGGGTTGTGACAATTGTGCCTCCACCCCGGCAAGGCCCGCCAAGCGGCTTATTCAGGTGTCACCCCAGCAGGTTCGCTGGCAGCGATAGTGCCACTCAAACACTGGGTCTGTGTGGCCCTTGTGATCCGTCGGCCACTTATGCTCCGTAGCCCAAAGGCTTGGCGCCGGTCTTGGGGTTCAGGAAGTTGAAGCACACGAACATTGGTGATCCTTCAGCCGGCGGCATCGCACACTGGTCCCAAAGGCACAAGCGCGTACTCACTGCGGAGCAAAGCTTGCCGCCTTCCATAGGAGTCGCCAACTTTGTGCCTCCCTTGATGCACAACTCCTTGAACTGCACGGCGAACAACGGGCGGCCGTTGGCCGAAGGCGCGGTCACGCCGCAGCCCAGGCAGAAGATGTAGTAGACCCAGAAGGTGTCGCCGAAGCCCGTGGACCAATCGAAGAGCTGCTGCCCGCTCCAGCCGTCGTCTCCTGCCAGCTTCTTGTTGAAGCACACACAGATCGGGGAGCCTTTGGCCGGCGGGAGGGCGCACTGGTCGGTGATGCACAGGCACACGCGCATGGAGGAGCAGAAGGGGTCCCCCACATCGGTCATCTCACACTTGGAGTGCAGGCAAATGTTCACCGCCTCGCCGCCAAAGAAGGGATTCCCCACTGCGCCGATGCCCACGCCCTCGCAGAAGCAGTAGTTCAGCCACCAGAGCTCCGAGAACATCTTGTCGCGGTCCAGGTTGGAGTTGATGTCCGACTTGGCGATGTCCGGCATTGCGATGTGCGGCCACTGGGCAGTCAGGCAAGCAAGAGTACTTACGGATCGAAGTCGTAGCCGCTGGAGCCAAACGAAAGCAGAATCACAAGAAGCTGGGCTCCCTTACATTATCTCGGTTGCTTGACTGCTGCCCGCCAAGAATGCAAAAGCTGGGCATGCAAGCAAAAACTTCCGCCGGCAAGACGACTGCTGCGTGAGGCGCAGCGCGCTGGCTGCGCCTTATCACAGAATGCCGTGCGATGAGGTGGACAAGGCTAAGCGGCTAAATAGACCCGCGTCCAACACACGGAAAGAAGCATGTTGCAGATACCTTTGAATGTATCCTAGGTACTTGGTTCTTCCGGACGAGGGGCCAGCCGATTGGGGTCATTCCCACAGCTTGGGTGAGGACTCCCATAATTCTGGCCTACCGAAGGCGCACCGAATCGCCGAAGCAAGCAGGGCTGCTAGACTTCTCACGCCCTCTTCGCAGGTCTGTGTAAGGCTGGCCGATCCGCTGAATTGCACGGCCGAAACAGCAGTTGATACAATCCCGTCCTTTTGGGGAAAACACTTCTTTCTCTCAGGTGAAACACCAACACCGTAGCTGGTTTTTCTGGAAGCCCCGAACGCAATTCATGCAATTACGTTCACGCCATGGTGTGCAAAATCCGCCCTTGCAAAAAGACTGAAACCTCACATGTAGGACAGGTTTCTCCCCAGCAGGTCTGCATGGAATTTGAAGAGAACCTCATTTTGATGCCCCTGCCCCAGGTGAGTTGCCAGGGCAAAGAACAGGCGACATCGGGTCAGTTCATTTGGCCGCCCTGCTCGTCAGTCGGCTGGGCAGTTGCCTGGCCGGGCTGGCCATGCCATGTGTGGGTTTCTTGAAATAGGTCCCCCTTTTGGGCCGGCTTGTAAGGAAGATCAATTGGCATGCGTGTGTGGGCGCGTGTGCGCGTGTGCGCGTGTGCGCGTGTGCAGGCGTGCGGGCGTGCGGGCGTGCCGGTGCGTGTGCGCGTGTGTGCGTGTGTGCGTGTGTGCGTGCGCGTGCGCGTGCGCGTGTGTGGGTGGGGGTGTTTTTGTTTGTGTTTGTGTTTGTGTTTGTGTTTGTGTGTGTGTGTTTGTTTGGTTGGTTGGTTGTTTGTTTGTTTGTTTGTTTGTTTGTTTGTTTGTTTGTGTGTGTGTGTGGGTGTGGGTGTGGGTGTGGGTGTGGGTGTGGGTGTGGGTGTGGGTGTGCGTGTGCGTGTGCGTGTGCGTGTGCGTGTGCGTGTGCGTGTGCGTGTGCGTGTGCGTTGTGCGTGTGCGTGTGCGTGTGCCGGTGCCGTGTGCGGTGTGCGGTGTGCGGTGTGCGGTGTGGTGTGTGTGGTGGTGTGTGTGGTGGCGGTGTGTGGTGTGCGTGTGGCGGTGTGCGGTGTGCGGTGTGCGGTGTGCGGTGTGCGGTGTGCGGTGTGCGTGTGTGCGGTGTGCGGTGTGCGGTGTGCGTGTGTGCGTGTGTGCGTGTGTGCGTGTGTGCGTGTGTGCGTGTGTGCGTGTGTGCGTGTGTGCGTGTGTGCGTGTGTGCGTGTGTGCGTGTGTGCGTGTGTGTGCGTGTGTGCGTGTGTGTGTGTGTGCGTGTGTGTGCGTGTGTGCGTGTGTGCGTGCGTGTGTGTGTGTGCGTGTGTGTGTGTGTGTGTGTGTGTGTGTGTGTGTGTGTGTGTGTGTGTGTGTGTGTGTGTGTGTGTGTGTGTGTGTGTGTGTGTGTGTGTGTGTGTGTGTGTGTGTGTGTGTGTGTGTGTGTGTGTGTGTGTGTGTGTGTGTGTGTGTGTGTGTGTGTGTGTGTGTGTGTGTGTGTGTGTGTGTGCGGGTGTGGGTGCGTGTGCGGGTGTGGGTGCGTGTGCGTGCGCGTGTGCGTGTGGTTGCGTGTGGGTGTGTGTGTGCGTAGTGTGATTTTGTGTTGTGAGGTGTGGGTGAGGGTGCGTGTGCGTGTGCCTGCGCGTGGTGCGTGCATTGTGTGTGCGCGCGCATGTGCGTGTGGGTGCTTGTGTTTGTGTGTGTGTATATGTGTTTCTTGTTGCTTGTGTGTATGTGTTGCATGTGTGTATGTGTTGCATGTGTGTATGTTGTGTGTGTGTGTTGTGTGCGTGTGGGTGTTGTTTGTTGTGCGTGTTGTGTGTTCTGTCTATGTGTGTGAGTGTGTGCGTTGTGTGTGTCCTGCGTGTGTGCGTGTGCTTGTGCGTGTGCGTGTGTGAGTGCGTTTAGTGTGCCTTTGTGTTGTGTGTGTGGTGTGTGTGTGTGTTGTGTGTTGCGTGTGTGTTCCTGTAGGTGTGGGTGTGGGTGTGGGTGTGTGGGTGTCTGCGAGTATGTGTGGGCACGTGCGGGCGTCGTGCGTGCGGGCGTGCGTGCTTCCGTGCCAACATGCGTGCGCGCGCGCGGGCAGGTGGGCGGGTGTGTGTGTGTGTGCGTGTGCAGGTGGGCGTGTGCATGTGTGTGTGTGTGCGCGCGTGTGCGTGTGCTGCGCTTGTATTGCGTGTTGTGCGTGTTGTGTGTGTGTTGTGTGTTGTGTGTTGTGTGCTGTGTTTTGTGTTGTGTTGTGTTGTGCTGTGCTGTGCTGTGCTGTGTAGTGTTGTGCTGTGTTGGGGTGTGTTGTGTTGCGTTGCGTTGCGTTGCGTTGCGTTGCGTTGCGTTGCGTTGTGTTGTGTTGTGTTGTGTTGTGTGTTGGGGTGTGTTGGGGTGTGTTGGGGTGTGTGCGCGTGTGTGTTCTCAGTGTGTGAGTTGTCAGTGTGTGAGTTGTCAGTGTGTGAGTTGTGTGTAAGTTGTGTGTGTGTGTGAACAGGTGTTGTCTGTGTGTGTGTGTGTGCGGTTGCGTGTTGTGTGTGTGTGTGTGCGTGTTTGTTGTGTGTATGTGTGTTGTGTGTTGTGTGTGTGTGTGCGTTGCGTGTGTGTGTGTGTTGTCTGTGTGTGTGTTGTCTGTGCGTGTATGCTGTGTGCTGTGTGTTGTGTGAGTGGTGTGTGTGTGTAGTGCGATTGTGTGTTTTGAGGTGTGAGTGTGTGTTGTGTATTGTGTGTTGTGTGTTGTGTTGTGTGTTGTGTTGTGTGTTGTGTGTTGTGTGTGTGTGTGGTGTGTGCGTTGTATGTTGTGTGTGTGTGTTGTGTGTGTGTGTTGTGTGTTGTGTGTTGTGGGTGTGTGTTGTGCGTGTGTGTTGTGTGATTTGTGCGTGTGTGTTGTGCGTGTGTTTGTGTGTGTGTTGTGTGTGTGTGTTGTGTGTTGTGTTGTGTTGTGTTGTGCCGTGCTGTGCTTTGTTGTGCTGTGTTGCGTGGTGCGGTGCGGTGTGGTGTGGTGTGGAGTGGTGTGGTGTGGTGTGGTGTGGTGTGGTGTTGTGTTGTGTAATGTTGTGTTGTGTTGTATTGTGTTGTGTTGTGTTGTGTGTGTGTGTTGTGTGTTGTGTGTGTGTGTGCTGTGTGTGTGTGTGTGTCTGTGTTGCGTGGTTGTTGTCTGTGCGTGTGTGTTGTGTGTTGTGTGTTTTGTGTGTGTGTGTGTGTGGTGTGTGTGTAGTGTGATTGTGTGTTTTGAGGTGTGAGTGTGTGCTGAGTGTGCGTGTGTGTTGTGTTTGTGTGGGTTTTTGTGGCTGTGTGTTTGCTTCGTTTGCTGATTGTTGTTTTTGGCTTGTTCGTTTTGTTGTTTGGTTTGTGTGTGTGTGCTTGTTTGTGTGTGTGTGTGTCTGTTGGTCTGCCTGGCTGCCTGCCTGCCTTCCTGCCTGCCTCTTGCTTGCCCGCTTGCTTGCTTGCTTGCTTGCGTGCTTGCGTGCTTGCGTGTTTGCTTGTCTCTGTCTGTCTGTCTGTCTGTCTGCCTGTCTGTCTGTTTGTCTGTCTGTCTGTTTGTTTGTTTGTTTGTTTGTTTGGCTTGTGTTTGATTGCTGGTGTGTGTGTGTGTGTTTGCGCGTGTGTTGGTTTCTGAAAAGGCAACAACTCCGGAGATTCCACTATTCTCAAGGCGCAGAAGCAAACGGGAGAGCCCTCCCGACCCCTCCCGACGGCCTTGCCGCCGTGCTCTGCCTGGAGCCTGTCGCCAGCCGCACCTGGGACATGTGTCTCTTCCATTTGCTCAACAAGTCCACCGGAAAAAATAACAAAACCCAGCAGTGATAGATTCCCGTTAAAACCAACAGCGGAAAATAAAATCTATCCTTAAGCAAATGGAAGGTGTGAGTAGGTGGAACCTTCCGAAGTTCTAGCTCCATTCCGTCCGGCAAAAGCAGCCCGCTGGTATCCCCACCCCGAACGCTTGAACCCCAAGCTCTGGTGCAAGAAACAAACTCAAGGCGCATAGGTTTGGAAGAAAGCTCCAAGAAAAGGGGCGTTGGGTTCAAGAAAAAACTGTTTGACTGTTGTTCCCCCCGGCAGAGATGCGCAATGCTGAGCCTGGTGGCTTCCAACCAAAGGCACAGTCGGTCAGCTTTGAGGCCTGGAAAACGTTGAAGTAGGCGGACTGCAACCAATGTTGGTTGCGTGTCTCTGTTGCGAGGCCATCCCAGAAGTGGGCCATCTGGCCATGGGTCAGTGAACATCCCAATCCCCACTCAAACAAAGCCTAAAATGGGTGGTGAATTCACCGAAACCCCAAAGTGGGATCAACCACAACGTTTTTGACAACCACAGCCATCTGACTTCGGGGTGCAGTGCCGCACACACGGCCAGTCCTCGGAGTGCCTGAGGTCCCCAGGTCCCCCGGCCGGCGGGGCGCCGGGGTAGGGCGCGCCCCCCGGCGCAGATCGCCGCGCCGAGGTCCTGAGCCACGTCGCCCGAGCCGATGGACGTGGAACTTAGGTCCAGAGGGAATAGTTCCAGTAGTGATCGATTCCCTTTAAAACCAACGGGGAAAAACTCGTCTTAATAAGCTTAAGCAAACTCGAGAGGCTAGAACAGGGGTACCCGATGTCTTTTCTGTGGTCTATTTTGGTAGGGGAAGCCTCCTCCAAAATGAGGTAAAAGGGCACTACTGGGGGAAGTAGAACCCCAGAGCCTCCTTTTCTGCACGG